GCCGTACTAGCCGCGCGGCGGCGGGCCGCCGGCCCATGCTTAAGGCCGTCTCACCGCTGCACGGCGTGTTCATAAAGTGGTGTGCACCACACATTCATATATATACATTTTCACATTTTCCGCACAACACCCTGCGAACGGCTCTACATGACCTTATACTCATATAGTAGTTTAAAAACTATAGAGCCTGAGAGTAATCTTTATAAATCACTATAATTATTTTTGTCTACTTCTTCTATTCTAAAAGACGATCATTCGTTTTCGACATTTAATGGGCTACAAGATAGGATAAATATATGTCAACAGTTTTTACCAACTATACGACAGAAGTACAGACATCAGTGTCTTGTTTTGTTACCGTCATGTTGCTCTTATGTTGCCGAAAACGAATGACAAAGGAAAGAGTTTTCTATGAATAAAAGTCATTTTGTTGACAACGTAATGAGCAATAATTGCTCTTCGTTTGATCTGAATCTGCTGACACAAAATGTCTCAAATTTGCCTTTGTGTTGTCGATTACGTAAGACTAAGGATGAGCATATGATATCGATATATCGACAATATGGATATAATTCTTTTCATATTTGATATTTTAGTATCGATATTCTGTTATTGATAATATCAAAAAGATATCGATAATTTTATTTGATATTGTCAATATTAATAATTATTGAATATATATATTATATATATTCAATAATTCCGATCAAACAATGCGATATTTAATATCAAATAAAATACTCGATAATCTTTTTATATTATCAATAACAGAATATCGATACTAAAATATCAAATATCAAAAGAATTATATCCATATTGTCGATATATCGATATCATATGCTCATCCCTACATAAGACTATGCATCATGTTTTCAGCAAATACACAGCAACTAGTTGAAAACTTCAGCTCAGCATTAAGTTACATCATTTTGCAAAACATGCTTGGCTATCAGGGATGTTTTTCTTTTGTAGCGTATCAGAAAACAGGCTCTGTTTACCAAGTCTAAGCGCAATCAGAAATTTTTTGCGAAGAACATTTTTATTTATTTCTTCTCTTTCCAAGGCATATTTGCGGTTATATTTGGTTTTTGTTGGCATACTGAAAAAGCCGATAAAACTAGTGATCTGTCCCTAAAAATGGGACAGATAGACCACAGTGCAGTTTTTTACACAAGAAAGTACTTAACAGTTTTTACTTATGAAATCTGTAAAACTGTTTCAAATTGATAGAATACGTCAAAAAAACTTAAAAAATCATGTATCTATTTAAACATTTCACAAACAAAAAGTGGTGAACTAGAATTATTCACATCTACTTGAAATTAAAGATACAAAATATTCACCTGTTATGCAAATGCGATTCAAATAAATACTCTTCTGCTTGTAAGTACGCACTTAGAAATACACTCATAACTATACGCTGACATGTAACAAATAATTTAGGAAATTTGCATGTGGTCCGTCTCACCCACACGGTCCATCTCCCCCTGACTTATCCTATGTTGGTTTTATAATATGTTGAAACTAAAACCTTTACTCATAGATAGTGAACAATAAAACATTTTTCATATCTTATCTGGATAACAGTTTATCACAACCATTACTAGAAAAAGAGACTATTTTTATATATTTTTCGCAGATCTACTCTATCGTTAGCTCTACGATAAGACCAAAAGGGTAGCTATTACATTGTGTAGCGCATAACAATCTTTCAGCCATAACTGCTCGCTCACATAGCCTTCAAGTTCCTTTAAGGAGGTTTGGGACTGTTAATCAGGGGAGAAAAGGGAATTAAATGATATCTACTTTATCGACATTTGTAAAATTTACATTTAGCAACAACGCAATTGCTACAAAGCAGCTTGTTCTTCTGAACAGTACGCTACGCAGTAAATGACCAGCTGATGCCACGTGCGCTGTTGCCACGTTTTTTTCATACCTCTAAGAATTGCCGTTTTTGGTGTTTTAACAATTATTTTTGTCTTTAATTGCATGAAAAAGTCCTTTTATCTTTTACGTAACGATTCCTAAGTTCTTAATCTACCAGTACACATTTTTTTAAGCAACTGTGTCATTTTCACCTTACTTTTTTTGTCAGTTGAAATATGAGTCCCATAAGAACTCATGTTAAAAGTTTGAAATTACTGAGTTTTTAACGATCTTCTTGAAATTTTCCACGAAAACAAATATTGAAAAAATTTGTAAAATTTTATTTTATGACCAAAAACAAAATTCTGAAGTTTCAACAACTTTTGTCATTTTTTAAAAACGTCCCAAACCTCCGTAAGATGACAAACACGCATATACAGGGTCATCGAAAAGTATTGGACCCCCCTAATATCTTCAGTTAGAATGCATTTTGGAGAAAATGTCCAATAGCAAATGGACATTGTTGTATGGTTTTAAGCGAGGAGTAAGATGGTAACCTTGACTTTGATCTTGACCATGTCCTTTAAGGTCATTTCAAGGTTAACCTTATTTTTTTAAATGGAACCCCCTACATTTTATTGCACATTTTTATAGTTTATCTCGAGAGCTTTCCAAAACACTATAATAAAACATTTTTATATTAAATACTTTTTGAGTTATAAAAGTTTGAATTTAACAATTTTTTGACACAAAATGTAAAATATCTTGTAAAATCTCTTGGTTTTGATTCTTGGGCAAGTTTGAACCGATATGCAGGGTGTTGTGCGAGTAATTAGAAATCGATATCTTTTTTCCACGTTTCGGTT